TCGAATTGTCACGTGTTGGTTTTGGCAAAACGTAATTTCCAATCACCGAGTGCGCTTACGAACGCGTTGTTTCCCCCCCCCCCCCATACACCCCCACCCCGCGACACTGCCCCCCCGCGCGGCCCCCCCCCCCCCCCCCCCCATAGAGATTATCGAGGATCGAGTGTAGATCGTTTGATAAACAGTACCGCGCCGCCGAATCGAAAGTGGAACGACACCACGTCCGGCGGCGGGTGTTGTCTCCTCGCGCGGAAGCGAATCTGTGTTTTCGACCGCGTCAAAGTCGTTCGCGCGTTTTCGTCCGGCCAGCCGCGCGCAGTTGTCAACCACCACGAGACTAACGGCCGGTCGAACAGTGCGAAACAATAGGTCTCGGGGGACCGTTAAAATACGCGCGCGACGCACAATAATAAATACGACCCGCGGTGAGTCGAGACGCGGTCGTACGCGCGGGGGCTCTCCGTTCGTCCGCTGGCGCCGGGCGCTTAATTAAAAAATATATAATATATCCGCGCGGTGCACGTACACGTAACGCGTTTACATTATTCCGTGTACATGTGCGCCGCCGATCGCTTTTGTTTCGGTGGCGGCGGAGGACCTGTGCGCGCACGACAAACAAAAATATTGTGCGCTTTTATACGGTACACACACACACACACACACACACACACACACACACGCATGCACACGATACGTGCGCCCGTCCGCCACCGACTGTACACGCGCGCCTTGGACGTCTCTCGTTCCATCACTCTCTTCCTCTCGGTCTCCGTCACCGTTCTCTCGTAAGGTAAATACTAACGCGGAGACCTTGAAGAATGACACTTCATTAATAATATTTGATTTTTTATATTTATTTTTATTTATTTTTTTTTTTTTTTTATTATCGTTCTTTCTTTCCTCGCCTAACCTAACCCGCGTGCGCGCGCGTCCTTTATGTGTACACCTATACGTTTTATAGCCGGTACGCATTGCGCACAGGTATACGTATAATACGACTCGTACGCTACAAGAATACGTACTCACTTCGGGCGAGTCGACGACGTTGACGACGTTGTGTGCGTACAATAATAATACACACGCACGCACACACTATTACAAAGTCATCTAATGACCGCGGTACGTACGCGGCGGCGAGGCGGCGACCGCGACGGGGACAAATCGAACCGAAAAACAGCGGTCCGTTTTTCCTCCGGGTCCCTTCGGGTGGTGAAGACGACGATAGTCACGCGCGGTCGTCGATCAGAAATACATTTCGTGACCGCAAACCGGTTTGTCCTGCAGGGAAACAACGGCGACGAACACCCAAGTTATTATTACTACGTACGTGGACCGACGTGAACTTACGGCGTGTACATAATACGCGTGTAGTGTGCACACGGTTTTACAATAATGACGACGACGACCGATACCAGTGTAGTAATAATAATAATAATAATAATAATAATAATAATCGCCCCACGGGGAGTTTTTAGACGACGGTGCACGATTAAAGGCACGGCGACACGACGACGATCGATGGCGTTTCTCCTCTTCTCGTTCGATTTTTACCGTAAAACGGACAATTATCGTCGAACGATGAAAAACGCACGTTTCTTCTCTCGTTCACACCGCGGTCCGCCGGTTCACTTTTACTTTTTGCCCCGTGTGGATTTCGGCAAATCGTTACCACGACGATAGTACAGTCAAACTTCGTGTTATTACCCTCAATACGAAATTACAATACGTAATTATTGTTTGCCGCGTACGATTCGTGCAGCACACCTTCACGAACACGTATCCCGGCCGCTGAGCCGAGCGCAAGTGTGACACCGCCGTCGTTACACCGGTTTGTTTTATTATTATTATAAGCTCGTCTCGACCACATTTCTTCGGTTAACGACAACGCCCGAGGCGGCCGGGATACGAGGTGCAGAATAACGGCTCGAACGGAATGTTATATTGTACATAATGTCGATGTGTACGGCCGCCGTGCCGGATCCGATACGTGTGGGTACAAGCGCGTATTATTATCATCGTGTACACGACAGCAAAATAATATATTATAATGGTGACAATAACGCGCGCCCGGTTTTGTCACGGACAACGAACACAAAGTGTATACGTACCGATAAACTCTCGGGTCCGCGTCCTACAGCAAAGTCGTATTGATTAATATAATAAACGTTTTCAACTGCGCCGAGGAGATTCGAATGCGGAGGACGACGGTGGCGGTACCGAAAGTTTCGGTGCCTTTGATCGACGGCCTGTGAACCGGCAGCATAACGATAATATTAACATTCCACTGGGACACGTGCGAGTCAGACCTTTGTCCGTTTATATAATTAATTTGTTGTGTATACATTCACGGCAGGATTGCGCAATAAGCGGAATTGAAGTCACTATCTCGCTCATTTCGGGGTTCTTTTTTACTTTTTTTATTGGCGTTGTTTAGTCCCTCGCAGTTTCTTTGACTCGACCGAATTTTTTGACAAAAAGTAATAATAATAATAATATGCAACAAAAATATCCGTGGCGGTGACGCGTGATGACGTCGTCCGAGTTAGACGGGTGGACCGACTAGCCGGAAACATTGTGTGCAATATTATGTACTCGTATACGCGCGACTATTTTCACGGTCTGGTGCACACTTCAGGCATATCGGTATTAAATTAAACGTCTCGTAAAAATCATCCGATTTATCGATCGTACTACAGTTTTTTCTATTTTTTTTTTTACCACCGTACATTTCACCATGTTCTTCGTCGTCTACTTAACAACACGTTGCTGCTCTACTACTGTGTACGTCGTCTCTTCCACCATATCCTACGTAATCGCGCGAGTGCACGCGGATAATCCGATGATTTTCTTTTCGGGAAAAATCCGACCGTCCGATATATACGTATATGTGTGTATTATAACGTTGTCGCACGCATATAACAGCGGCGGTGGCGGCGGTTGCGGCACTAACGTGACTGATATGACCGAGTAGTTTCCCACAGAAACCGGTCGTGCCGACACAGACCGCACGAAAATAAAAGAAGAAAAAATTGAAAAAAAAACACTATAAATATATATATATATATATATATATATATATATGGTAATAATAATAATATAACTATAATAACAATAATTCGGCATGATGCGTGTACACGTTGTGGAGGTGACGAATACGACGGCGATGATCGGCGAGGCGATTGTCCACGCGGTCCCCCCCTGATCCGCCGCGGCACGGGTTTTGTCGTCGTGATACGCGTCAAAATCCTTGTCACCGTGCGCAGAGACTGACTGATTTCCTGACACAGGAACACGAAAGACGATGATGAAAAAAAAAAAAAAGCATACACGCACGCACACGAGAATACTGGTACAGAAGAGATCTGCGGCCAAGCATGCGTGACAGACGACGTCAAATTATTATTCATGAGAAAAAGCGCGCGGACGACACGAATGTGTGCGGGGGCGAGACGACTGTGTATAGATTGTTGTTTTGGAAAAACGCGCGTGAAAACCGCTACACGCGACCGCGGATAAGTGTATCCCGGTCGTTGCGCAAAAATAATTCATTCTTCACCCGTTTACCGCATCGGTGGTGTATACGTACATCCGTTTAAACACCGAACGCGTACAATAATAATAACTAGACCGTGGATAGATGTCATAATTTATAGAAACGGGGGATATTATATTATAACGTTGCTATACGCGCGCTCGTGGGCGGTGGATAGTGAGAGGTTTTTTATTTTTTTTTTTTAATCTTCAATGCTGCAGCGAGGCTTTCGTGTGTACGGGTCGGAAAAGTGCAGAACGACATCGAACGGAGTATTTGTCGGTAATTGTAATATTCTTATAATAAATATTAAAACCTGTGTACAATGCGTGTGGTGTGTTCAGTCACCATAAGCCCGCCGTGCTCGCGCACGGCCTATTGGAGATCGACAACGGACGGGGGCAAAAATAATTAATTAAAATCGTATTCGGGGGTCGTCGCAATTTCGCGTTTTCCGCGGTTATGAACACGCCCGTCGGACCCGCCGCCGCGACAACACAAATGCAGTGGGTCTTGACAAGAGTCGATTCGTCGGCGGGATGCCTTACCTGTCCGTCCGCCGCCGATATATCATCAGGGTGGTTTTCCTTTGTTACGCGCCGATGTTATAATTACATACACAGATCTTTTTTCTACATATATATATATATATGTATACACATTTATACATCGTATAATAAAAAGGACAACGACGACGACAAAGAATTGAAAGACGCAATCGATAAAAAAAAAAAATAAGGGAAACTAATGATGAATACCCTCTAGACGGTACCTACCGTTGCATCACACACAAATATCGATTAAGAATACACACATACATACACAACTATAAGAATATAATAATAAGCGCATAGCTATATATACGAAATCATAACTCTGGACGAAAATAACATCTTATTGTCCCCGTGTACGTACGCACCGTCAAGTGTACAACACGAGACCCCACAAAATCCGCCAAAACATCGCGTAACCATGTTCCCCGTGCGAATAATGCCCCGGAAATATGGCCTTTCGATTTCCTATTATTGTTATTATTCCGCGCGTATACAGCAGAAGCATCTACCTCCCACGTGCACTCCTCCACAAGCGGTTTTCAGACGTAATATACCCAAGTTTGTACGCACGAGTTATATTTTAATTGTATTATGTCTCGTACCTATTGTACAGTAGAAAACCACGCGAAATATTAACATTGCACAGTAGTTTTCGCGTTATTATTAGTACACGTTTGCCGAGATTATTGGATTTTTTTCACACCGCGCAACACAAATATTAAACAGACAACAACGAAGCAGCTTCCTGTCGCTAATGAGGTCAAAATATCATTACGTCATAATGTATGAGATAATACGTTAACATATTTTATATTTATTTTAGACACAAAAACGCAGCAACAGCAACAGTAGGAGAGTGCGTGTTGAGAGGTCAACCGTCAATTAAACGTTGAAAATAAAAAAATATACATTACACAGTGGTACATCGAAGAAAAATCGCGCACACGTCGACATTGAAGTTGTTTATGACAGCACATATAACACACGCACAAACGATAATAACGAACACGACACGGAAAATACGAGGCGATAGATAAGAACCCATATTGTATGAAAAACAAAAAAGAAATATATCGAACGGACGATACCGTAAAAATAATTATAATTACCACTCGTCAGCGACGTGATGTTGGTGTGTGCGGATAACCTTTTGGGATGAAAAAAATAAAAACGAATGAAAAAAAAAATCGATTACTATACAATAATATATATTACTGCTATACAAACACGTAAGTAGTGAATCGGAATAAAAATATATTACGATAATACGAGGCTGTGATATAGAGCGACACACGCGATTGCGCAACGGTTTTTAATTAGAACGCACGAGCGGAGGAAGAGAACTCATCTTGTAAGGCGGCAGCGTTGATAACGATAACGATGACGACGACGCACTATATGCGGCGGCCACGCTGACAAAGGAAAACATCGATTTATCATTTCGGACATAATGGACTACTTATGCGCGTGTAATAAACGTCAAGGAAAATAAAAAAAAAACCTCCCGAAATCGTACAAACCTTCTGTTCGTCAATGCACATAGAATATCACTTAATTAACATTTCGACCTATTCATTTATACACACATATATCATATGATATCGAAATGAAAAGGAACGCAGTGGCACTTCTTTTTACGTTACACGATTTTATTTTTCTTCCAAAAACTCTGGGTCGTCCGTACAATGGTGGCAGTGTTTTTATATTATAATTTTGTTTTTCCAAATTGCTTTTATATGGACGACGATGACAACGACGACGACGACGATGACGATGACTCTTGCCGTCTCCTGTGTAACGGCGGACGCTGCCGCCGCCACTGCTATCGGAGAGTTAATGATGCATTGCTTCCTCGTAAATTATCGTACTTGTATTTTTTTTTCATCTTCTCTCCGCTCTTAACCGCACAGTGACCGTTAAAACGATTTTATGACGCGCGCGCGAGCGCTCGTATTAATCAATCTCGTGTGTACGTGTCCGGTCGGTCGGTGAAAAATTAAAAAAAAAAAAAAAAAA